TCCAGGGATGACAATTGATTTGTTCAGAGGCAAAGCAGCCGTGAAAGATGTAGAAGAAGAAAAGTTCCCCACGCAGCTGAGCAGACATATTAAGGTAGAATTCTACTAACTTTTTTCTGTATAATGCTTGGTAGTACTTGCTATAGTTACCTTAAGCCAAGACTTTCATTTTAACTCCCGATCTTCATGTGCTCATAGCTTTTTGAAAATTTAGCCTTTTTACTTAAATTTTTCCATGCCTGGTCTTGGCCCAGAAGTACATCTTTGGAAGGTTTGAATGAAAACTCCGGTTAAGGGTGGAGGAATGCTAATTACATTTCAGGTGGTTTTGAGTTGTGAATTTTAAATGCTGTTGTGTTCTGGTTGATTAAGGCTCTCATTATCTACAGGAAAAAACGGATTCTTAAAAATTTGGTTTTGTGCATGCATGTTAGTAACTTCCATTAGTCATGGGAACTTTGATTCTAAGTGTAGCACTAAGTTGTTGTTATAACTAATATTTTTTGTATTTTGTGCTTTCAGCCACAACAACAAAAAGCTTTTCATATAGTTTTCAATATAGAAACAGATTCTGCTCTGAAATTTCTGTGCTCCTGCAAAGCTTGACTTACAGCAGACAGCTGTTCTGTTGTGGAGTTTCCAGGGTTTATAGGTGAACTCCATAAGCCCAGTAGTTCCAGTTCATGCTCAGTAGCTCTGCCAGTTTTCTCTGCAAGCTGCCTGTTCTGATAATAAATAGAAAATATGGTTTACAGGGGTTTCTGTGTCAATGACCTGGACATGAGCAGTCAGGTCTAGTGGTTGGAGCAGGAATCGATACCCAGAAATTGCAACCGAGGGTCAGAGCCAAGGGTCAGAAGTCAGGAATCTTGAGCTGAGGATCAGAGCCAGGTTACCTGGAGTGAGGCAGGAGCAGGATTAGGAATAAGCAGGTGCAGGAGCTATTGCAGCCCTGGGCAAATGCTTGGAGCAGCTGGTGAACTGCTGCTGTGCTTAAGAGCCATTCTGCTGGCTTTGGCTACACCACCTGGTTGGTAGGAAATCAGGCAGCCTAGTATAGGCAAGCTGCACTCGTTAGGTTACCTGGAAACTGGCTCTGCTGCTTGCTTGTGTTGGTCTATTTCCACCAGCACTAAATTCACTTCTTTGTAATTGCTAGGGTGAATCAAAATTTTCATCAAACTTTTTTGACAAAAACTGCATTTCCAATCATGATTATTGTTGTGGAAAAAAATAATTTTGGTTCAAATTTTGAAATGAAAAATGTTGTTACACTTCAGTGGAGGAGGAAAAACTTTCTTGATTTTGTACTTCCCTACCCCCTATTTTCTAGTATGGGGGTTGGAGGGGAAGTGAAAAGTGGCTTTTTCTCTCTGAATTTTTTTCATGTAGCAAATAGCATTTCAAACAAAACAATTTTTATTTCTTTTGATTTTTTTCAGCTGTATTAATTATGTTTGCTAAATAGACATTGTAAAGGTGTCAATTGACATCACGATCGCAAAAATTAATGAAAACTAACCTGACTACTTTTGAAAGCAGAGACTGGCTGGCATAGAAGTAAAGCAGCTGCACAAATAATTCTTGATCAAAAAGGAGTTGGTTTGTTTGGTTTGTTTTTTATTTAAAAGTAGGTAGCCCAGTAGAGCTGGCAGCTGTTCTCCACCACTAAGTTAAAATAAATTAACCTTAAGCCCTGGAATATATCATGTACTGGCACCAAAGAGTTAACTTGATTTAAAATGAAACTGATCTCATATTAAAATCCTATTTTTATTTCATTTGAAAACAGTTTGGCCAGAAGTCACATGTGGAATGTGCTAGGTTTTCTCCAGATGGTCAGTATTTGGTAACAGGCTCTGTGGATGGATTCATTGAAGTGTGGAATTTCACTACTGGAAAGATCAGGAAGGTAAAGTAGTTCTGGATTCATTTGACTGGGAAGTGGATTGATTGGTGGTTACAGAGTGCATTTTTCAACTCTGAAACCAGGTTTCAAATCCAGCTGAATCTAACTAAAATGAGTTTGGAGGGGAAGGCTAGCCCCGGGTGCTGGTCTGGGAGGTACCAGATACAGGATCAGTTCTGTGCTCTGCCATAGACACCCTGTGTGACCTTGGACAAGTCACTTAATCTCTCTGTGCCTTAGTTCCCCATCTGCAAAATGAGAATAAAAGCTCTGCCGTAATTCACAGAGGTATTTGAGGATGAGAATATTAAATTGTGAAGTGCTTAGATACTGTGGTAAAGGGGGCCATATAACGTACCTTTAATAGACATATAGAAATAATTACACCTCTACCCCGATATAACGCGAACTGATATAACGCAGGTTTGCATACAACGTGGTAAAGCTCCGACACGCTGCTCTGAGCAGCGTGTTAAGGGTGCCGTGCTGTGCCGGGGCTGAGGAGTTGGATAAAGGGCAGAGGGTCTCGAGGGCTGTCAGGGGCTTTCCCACCCCCCCCCACCCCCCCAGGTCTGGGAGGCAGGAGCTGTGGGGAGGTGGGGGCACTTTTGGGGACCCTGCAGTCCCAGAGTGGCCTGGGGGATTAGTGGGGGGCCGGGAGAAGCCCACTCTGTTTCCTTTGCACCGGCCCCAGTCGTGTCGCTCAGGGGAGAGGGCTTGGGGGAAGGGATTCCCCCCTCACTCACTGGCAGCAGCGGAAGCGGAGCAGCCCGGCCCCAGCCCGTTCCACTCTGCCAGCTCCCAGCCGCGGCGCTCCACTTCCTGCTTCAGGTCAGTGCGGGACCTTTCCCCAACTCCACCCCCAAGAGACACACCTGGGGCCAGGGCAAGGAAAGTAGAGCGCACTGGGGGACATCCTTTCCCCAACCTCCCTGTGCTCACCGGCGGCAGGAAGCAGAGCGCCGTGACTGGGATGTGGTGGAGTGGAGCGGGCTGGGGCTGCATTCCTCCGTTTCCTGCTGCAGCTGGTGAGAGTCTGTCGGGGCGAGGGGTGATTAGGGACGGGGGTCTCTGGAGGGGGCCGTCAAGGGGTGGGGGGGGAAGGCAAAGCAAGTTTGATATAACGCAGTGAGATTTTTTTTGTCTCCCAAGGACCGCGTCATATCGGGGTAGAGGTGTATTGCAAAACCATTACATGGTTTCTTGTAGTTAGCAGACTCATCTGGAGAAATACTTGGGGTTGAGCTGGTAAGGAGACTAACCAGTTGCCAGAATGATCAGTCCTGTAGGCTGGTGCCATTGATTGAACAGAGCTGAGCATGTAAGGTGGGAAACTGAGGCATGAGTCCACCCAATTCTTGCTTTTATTTATGAATTTTAAAAAAGAATTATTGTCGCTTAGTTTCTGGTCATATACAGATGACATAATAAAACAGATAACTTGGACCCCTATCTGTTCCATCTTATCAAGTTCTGGGGTACCAGGAAGCTTTTCTTCCCTTCTGAGTTTCTGGACTTGGGCCCTTGTTCATTTGGCTTTTGGTACCTTCCCATAATACATATTCATTAGCTTTCATCCAATCAACATTAAGATAACGCTTATATAACCTATACAATACACATGCGCAGGCTTCAATTTATCTAATGTTTGCTGTCCCCTTTTTTTTCGTGTCTTCATGTCACCTTACCTCTGTTTTTCCCAAAATAGGGACTTTTCAGCATTACGTTTTGTATATTGTACCGATTAACTTTCTCTTATGTACGTCCTCCAATGTGATACATTCCATAAACAGAACATCACCTTTGTCTTGTCAGCTGTAAGCCTCATTTAAGTAAATCTACATAAGAGAGAAATTGGAAGACAACACTCTTGTCAAGTAAAGACTAGGTGAAAGCCTTAGTATAAGTATTACCCTGGCCTATCCAAACTCATTCACTTTTCATAGTTTAATGTTAATAATTTATTATTAATACAGTATAGCCCTTTTTTTGCCATTTAGCTATTTTTCATCTTTGGATATCATAGTTTACAACATGTATCATCCTAAATTATTCATTAACATAACCTTTATTTTTGTTATTTGAGTAGGATAGCTATGGAGAACAACATGCCCTACTATCAGAATATTCTTATCTTTTTCAAACTTGGATTACCAGGGGACTTTGAGCAAAAAGTTTAGCACCACACTTGTTTAAAAAGTCTTGTCAGTAATTTTGCCTGTTTCATTTTGAGGTGCTTTATTCAGTGTAGGGCCTAAGTTTGTGTTTGGTCCTCAATATTCCTCCCTCCGACAGTCTTGGAAATACAGTATTTTCAAGGGTGTCACTTATTTTACATGATGGGCTAGAGTGCACATTGCAATGCATGGGTTTTTTTGTCTTTTTTTGCCAATCTTTAATATATGCTGTATTTTATAACAAATTATAAGCAATGAGATACCTATTAACACTTGCATCTGAAGAAGTGGGTTTTTGACCCACGAAAGCTTATGTCCAGATAAATCTGTTTAGTCTTTAAGGTGCCACCAGACTCCTCATTGTTTTTGTGGCTACAGACTAACACGGCTACCCCCTGATACTTATTAACACTTCTGTACATAACAATATTTTAAAACTAAATGCTACAGCTGGGTGGTACCCACATGTTAGTTTGATCCCATCATCTGATTGGTTTTAATGTTTGTTTTATGTGATTATTTGCTGTATTTAATTTTTTTGTATATGAACTAAATGCTTTGTATTTTGCGGTGATGAAGAATTTAGATATATATTTAATTTAGCAATGGGTACTGTAAAGCTAGGAAGCAGCCTCAGGACCAAAGCTTGGTTGACTTGTTATTACTACTGGTTCAACAAATTTGGGTATAGGTATTATTTTGACTGATTCAATCATAGTTTTGAATTTAGAAGTAAAACATCTGTTGGACTGATTCATTGGGGATTCTTTCCCTCCATAACTGTATTTTAGCTATTATGTGACAACACAGTATTCTCCATTTCCCACATATGTGGCACAGGTTTGTTGTTCAAATTGCAGGTGCCAGATGGAATGTGGCTGGTTCAATGTTCATGAACATAATATGCCACTTACTGTTGTGAGTTGAATTCTTCCATGAATCGATGGCAATTAGCTATTGCTGTTTAGTTTTAGTTCTCTTTTATCCTCCATTGCTGTGGCTGACAGATGTTCTTGCTGTTTCGTTTAGGATCTGAAATACCAAGCACAGGATAACTTTATGATGATGGATGATGCAGTTCTGTGCATGTGTTTCAGTAGAGACACAGAAATGTTAGCAACTGGAGCACAAGATGGGAAGATCAAGGTATGAATTTTAGGACATAGAAACTGTTAGGAAGTACAGAAAGATTAGGCTAAATCAAATGTACGCATTGTACCCTTTAAATTTGAGGAGTGTGAGGTGGAAGAGAGTCTGATGCTCAGTTCCTATTGTTAATTTCCCCATGCACTGGAAACGGATTTCTTGCTATAATTTCATACTCTCCAGTCTTAAAGTTGGCCTACGAAGACACTTTTTAATACACTTTTTTGGATTATAGTATTGTGCCTGTCTTGAGAAAGGAATTGATTTTAGACTCGGGATTGTGGGTTTCATGCCCTTTGATCTTGTTACACAAGGCTGCTAAATATATAATTATACAAGCTAATGGTCTGTAAAGATCCACTTGTCTTGCTAGTTTGGGAAATTTTTCAAATGATATCCTCTAGAAAAGGAGATGAGTATGCATGTTCAATAACTACTGTCCTTTAGACTTGCATAAAGCATTTAGTATGTGCAGTGCATTCTATATGGTAGCCTCAGATATGAACAAGTGCAATGTCTCTATTTGTGTATCTAACACTCTGGTTTTGAGATGCTCCCACTGTGACCCTCTAGAACAGTGGTTCTCAATCTGACACCTCTGGGGAGTTGCCATCTGGAGGGGTGCAAGCTCACTCCTGGAAGACTTATCGTGTTTCAGGGCAGCTGCACCTCTGTTCGCTCTCTAAGGGCACCCACTATCAGGGTTCTGGCTCCCCAGCTGTCACTCTTTTGGGTGGAGCTCTGTCTCTCACTCCTTCCTGAGCGGGGTATTTCCAGGCTGCACAGCTCCCTGTCTACACTGAATTTTCCAGCAAGTCAGACTGACTAAGCAGGCCTACTTTTTTTTCTCATAGGCTGTAACGGTGTGATTGCCCACAATTATAAAGTACCACACAGTTCTTCCTAAGCAAGCACACTTATTCCGAAGGTGAAAGTATTACAGGGAAAACCTACTAAAACAGTAAAAGTCACCACAACTCCAACAAGGTCTCTGGTAGGAGTAGTCCTTCACTACCCACCAAGGGGTTTTACTGTGGTTACCAGTTCATAACTGTCTTGGCTCAGAACAAGCACCCCCATGAATAAATCAGCCCATACTTGTATGGCTTGGGTGTTGGATCGAGAGATTTTGGGAGCAGGTAATCAGTAGCCAATGGAAAAGGCTGAGGTTTTGCATAACTGGGTTGGAGGGGTACATCTGCATTCACCTCCTCTTAGAGATTTCCTAGGAAACCCACTTAACCAAAAGTTCATTCGTATCTGGCACATTCTTTAAACAAGTCCTTTGAAGCTAATACCACTTCCCAGTGTTTACATTAGTCATGTCTGCCCACAGAGAGTTTCCATACAATCCCACAATAATACATGAACATCTGCAAAAGGCTAATGTAGTGCCCATCTTTAAAAAAGGGAAGGAGGAGGATCCGGGGAACTACAGGCCAGTCAGCCTCACCTCAGTCCTTGGAAAAATCAGGGAGCAGGTCCTCAAGGAATCAATTTTGAAGCACTTAGAGGAGAGGAAAGTGACCAGGAAGAGTCAGCATGGATTCACCAAGGGCAAGTCATGCTTGACTAACCTAATTGCCTTCTATGACGAGATAAGTGGCTCTGTGAATGAGGGGAAAACAGTGGACGTGTTATTCCTTGACTTTAGCAAAACTTTTGATACAGTCTCCCACAGTATTCTTGCCAGCAAGTTAAAGAAGTATGGGCTGGATGAATGGACTATAAGGCGGATAGAAAGCTGGCTAGATCGTCGGGCTCAACGGGTAGTGATCAATGACTCCATGTCTAGTTGGCAGCCGGTATCAAGCGGCGTGCCCCAAGGTCGGTCCTGGGGCCGGTTTGTTCAATATCTTCATTAATGATCTGGAGGATGGCGTGGATTGCACCCTCAGCAAGTTTGAAGACGACACTAAAGTGGGAGGAGTGGTAGATACGCTGGATGGTAGGGATAGGATACAGAGGGACCTAGACAAATTAGAGGATTGGGCCAAAAGAAATCTGATGAGGTTCAACAAGGACAAGTGCAGAGTCCTGCACATAGGATGGAAGAATCCCATGCGTTACTAGGGACTGAGTGGCTAGGCAGTAGTTCTGCAGAAAAGGACCTAGGGGTTACAGTGGATGAGAAGCTGGATATGAGTCAACAGTGTGCCCTTGTTGCCAAGAAGGCTAACGGCATTTTGGGCTGTATAAGTAGGAGCATTGCCAGCAGATGAAGGGACGTGATCGTTCCCCTCTATTTGACATTGGTGAGGCCTCATCTGGAGTACTGTGTCCAGTTTTGGGCCTCACGCTACAAGGAGGATGTGGAAAAATTGGAAAGCAAAAATGATCAGGGGGCTGGAGCACATAACTTATGAGGAAAGGCTGAGGGAACTGGGATTATTCAGTCTGCAGAAGAAGAATGACGGGAGATTTGGTAGCTGCTTTCAACTACCTGAAAGGGGGTTCCAAAGAGGATGGATCTAGACTGTTCTCAGTGGTAGCTGATGACAGAACAAGGAGTAATGGTCTCAAGTTGCAGTGGGGGAGGTTTAGGTTGGATATTAGGAAAAACTTTTTCACTAGAAGGGTGGTGAAGCACTGGAATGGGTTACCTAGGGAGGTGGTGGAATCTCCTTCCTTAGATTTTTAAGGTCAGGCTTGACAAAGCCCTGTCTGGGATGATTTGCTTTGAGCAGGGGGTTGGACTACATGACCTCCTGAGGTCCCTTCCAACCCTGATATTCTGTGATTCTGAATACAGTGAACTCCTGTGACACTTAAACTTAATTCAAAAGGGTTTACCTTAATTCAGTGAGGGTTGTGCAGGACATTGAAGTGTCTTTCAGAACTTGTACTCTAGTCTTTCTTTAGTTTATTTACCTTCCCACCCCAGGTCTCTGCCTCTCAATGTGCTAATTAGCAAAACAGCATAGCGCGTCATAAGTAGTCGGGATCCAACATTTATGTTGTTTGTTAACTTAGCCCTGGTCTATACTAGGGGAGGGTCGACCTAAGATACACAACTTGATCTACGCGAATAGCGTAGCTGAAGTCGGCATATCTTAGGTTGACTTATCTGGCCATGAGGACGGCGGCGAGTCGGCCGCTGCCGCTCCCCCGTCAACTCCGCTTCCACCTCTCGCCAGCTGGAGTTCCGGAGTCGATGGGGAGCGCATTTGGGGATCGACTTATTGCGTCTAGACGTGCCCTTAGAAAAATAACAAAACCTAATGGGAATGTTTTCATGTTTGTTAAATGGCAGGGAAAGTAGATGATTGGTCGTATGCCCTGCAGCATTTGAAACCCTGCCATGGCAGAGCATACTGTTAATGCATGAGTACCCGAAAGTGACTAGAAACACAAATTAAATTAGCCTGTCTTCATTGTCTTAATATGAATAGTCTAAAATGTAAACAGCAGAAATAATGGAAAACAGAACTCATCTGTTAATCGGTGTTTAACGCAAATGAGGGGGTTTGAGTAACATTTAACTTCTAAAGGGAAAAGAAAGGGTAGCTCCAAGGTGAAGTTTTATTTTTTGTTCCAAATCAGTGGCCTGTTGTTCCTTTCTGGAGGAGTAGGGGGTGGAAAGTCTCTTTCAGCTTTAGGCCAGGCAACCCTCTGCCCAGCAGCATCCCCATTACTGACAGGTGCAATCCTTTTTGTATGGCTAATGTCTGTGTGCAGCCTGATAGGAGTGCTACGGCCATCAGTGTCCTGCACCAGGAAGAGCTGCCAGGACAGATGAGTTCAGGCATCCGTAAAACCAAACCCAGATAACCTAGAGTTCTGCAGTCTCGATTAGAAAACAGCTCCTAAATTGGAGATTAGCTTGAGGGCATGTCACGTTTACAAGGAAAGGGGGAAACTGATGTGGAATAGATAAGAACATAAGAACAGCCATACTGGGTCAGACCAAAGGCCCATCTAGCCCAGTATCCTGTCTTCTGACAGTGGCCAATGCCTGGTGCTTCAGAGAGAATGAACAGAACAGGCAATTATCAAGTGATCCATCCCCTGTTGCCCATTTCCAGCTTTGGGCAAACAGAGGCTAGGGACACCTTCCCTGCCCATCCTGGCTACTAGCCATTGATGGACCGATCCTTCATTAATTTATCTAGTTCTTTTTTGAAACTTGCTGTAGTCTTGGCCTTCACAACATCCTCAGGCAAAGAGTTCCACAGGTTGACTCTGTGTTGTGTGAAGAAATACTTCCTTTTATTTGTTTTTAATCTGCCTATTAATTTCATTCGGTGACCCCTAGTTCTTGTGTTATGAGAAGGAGTAAATAACACTTCCTTATTTACTTTCTGCACACCATTCATGACTTTTATAGATCTCTATCATATCCCCCCTTAGTCGTCTCTTTTCCAAGCTAAAAAGTCCCAATCTTATTAATCTCTCATCACATGGAAGCTGTTCCATATCCTTAATCATTTTTGTTGCCCTTTCCTGAACGTTTTCCAATTCCAATATATCTTTGTTGAGATGTGGCGACCACATCTGCACACGGTATTCAAGACGTGGGTGTACCATAGATTTATATAGAGGTAATATGATATTTTCTGTCTCCTTATCTATCCTTTTCTTAATGATTCCCAACGTTCTGTTAGCTTTTTAGATTGCTGATTTACATTGAGTGGATGTTTTCAGAGAACTATCCACAAAGACTCCAAGATCTTTCTTGATTGGTAACAGCTAATTTAGACCCCATCATTTTATATGGATAGTTGGGATTATGTTTTCCAATGTGCATTACACTGCATTTATCAACGTTGAATTTCATCTGCCATTTTCTTGTCCAGTCACCCAGTTTTGTGAGATCCCTTTAACTCTTCACCATCTACTTTGGACTTAACTGTCTTGAATAGTCTTGTGTCATCTGCAAATTTTGC